AGTCTAATCTAATATGCTGAATGGATAAGACTGTTGCTGCCGAATTGGATAGGATGAGAACACCGGATCATTGCTGCTGCTGCTCCCAATACGCGTCGACATCAACATGTTAGGACTTTTAGTGAAGTAGTTGAATGTATGTATACTTAGCTCTATAACAGAACCCCTCAGATATTACCAACTTGACAAAGCTGCAATGTAGTGATTGTTCACTTGTCACGATAAGTAGAAACTTGCAACAGATATTATAGGCATTACAAATGTCTTAACACCTCTCAGAGCCAACTTGCATGCAGACAGAGACACAGATATAGAATCTATGCAGTTGCCTTGGTTAATGTTTAATTTTTAGTTGATGTATATAATATGTTATATACCCTTTTTTATCATAATCATACATTACAAAATCTCAAATGGTCTTTGAAATTGGTGATCTTGATGGCTGATGCTAATAAATCGTCCAAAAGAGATCTAATTTGTTCGATGCTGGTTCTAAAACCTTGAACATCTATTAAGGGAAATCTTGATGTGCTGGAGATTTACGAGGATTTTGAAGTAGTGCCAGTTTAGTAACTTTGAATATTATTTGTTTTTATCTTAATTCCTGTCAGAAACCTTGATGTGAATCAGCATGTGAGACACATGGCTTCCACATAAGGCAAGCCTCCAAATGTATTATAAACTTGGAATGTCTCTGAAGAAACTGCAAAACATAATAAACCAATCTTATACTTGAAGCTAGAGATGAAATTCCTTTCCTAATGTTTTTCTTAATTTGGATGTAAGGTTCATCCTGTAATTTTGAAAATTTTTAGTGTCCTATACTGTGAATAAGTCATGTATGGCTTACAGAATCCATGTGATTCTACCATGACAGGATATTTTGATTACTTGATTGGTTTTGATTGGTGGTTTATGGTCGTTGTTGTTATTGTTGTTATGATGACAATGATGTTCTTTTTCAATTTTATCATCTCTGCTGCTACTGAGAGGGGTTTCCTTTGATTATCCCAGGATATTGAATTCACAGTTCAGGAAAATAGGCTATGGATGTTGCAATGCCGAACAGGAAAGCGAACTGGAAGGGGTGCTGTAAAGATTGCAGTTGACATGGTTAAAGAAGGTCTTGTTGATACTCGTTCTGCTATGAAGATGGTTGAGCCACAGCATCTTGACCAACTTCTTCATCCCCAGGTAGACATGTTAACTGCACAAGATTCCCCCCAAAAGAAAACACTGTCATACCTACAGAACTGGGAACTTATAACTTGCTTTAGTGTACATTGACTCTTACCATAATCAACTGTATGATTTTAGATTTTATGAGCCATTCATATTGGAGAAAACAGTACACTGGTATTTGAAGTAACATCATGGGCTGAGGATACCATCTCAACCCTTGGTGCATAAAGTTAATATTACTGTGGAAGTGTGACGTTACACTTTTGTGTCTCTCATCAGTTTATTAAATCATATTACTATTTGAATCATGATATTCCTGTGCTTATATGCATTAACTGAAATAAATAATTGCACTTTCACTCACAAATTTTGTTGACACACTGCATACTATGGTAAAAATCTTGATGACTTTCTGCAATAGCATCATGTGTGTATTCAATTCAGCTGGGCAGGTGGGTCAGACAGGGCAAGTAAAGCAATAGGCATATGAATCAAAGAGAAAAAAAAATCTATAAAATGAACCATCATACAATGCCCTGGCATAACTTGAAAATTTAAACTGAAAAGCCTGAGCCAAACCCTGTTCAGGCTGGGTTGGGCCTTGTCATCTTCATCTTGTATAAGAGTACATTACATCAGAGCACTTGTAAGACCTCACTCCACACCTTCCTACATTAGCGAGGTGCTCTAACAACTAAAGCCTACACTTCAATAGTTTCAAAAATTAAAAAAGGTATTGTAAGTCCAACCAAGATTCAAGTTTATGTTAGGACTCCTTGTCTAAACCAAAACTAGGGTGCAAAAAGATCTATCTATACAGAAAAATAAAGCAGGAAAGCTCCCAATACCAGGTGTATACATTTTTACCTTAGTGTCTTGATGGAACTTGGAAGCATGTGTTTTGTGTACTTATGTAAGTATTCACATATCTGCTTAACTGATAATAAAAATTTCTTGATTAGTTTGAGAATCCATCTGCTTACAAAGAGCAAGTTATTGCCACTGGGTTGCCTGCATCACCCGGAGCTGCAGTGGGTCAGGTTGTTTTCAGTGCTGATGATGCCGAATCATGGCATTCACAAGGAAAGGATGTTATCTTGGTATGTTCTTCTCTATTAAAATTTGTTGTTTATTATGTTCTTGATATATAGGTTGATTGAGAATATCCAGTTTGATAAACTTGAAAATACCTTATTGGTGGTTACATGTTTTACTGTTTTAGCACAAGGTTTGCAGACCCAAAATAATGCCTATTGTAAAGCTGATAGAGATACGCAGAGATGATCCTAACTGATTGTTTCCTAACTCGTAAAAATCATGTGATATTATTAGAAGGTGATAATTGATTCATGGTGCTATTTTTGGTCAAAAGAACTTTCTGGAATGGACTCATCACCATAATATACTCGGGAAAATTTCATCTTCCATATATGTTTTTCTTTGCTTGTGTGTGTAATTTGTATGAATGCATGCATGTTCATTTATCTTTATCTTTAATCTTTCATTTATTTGCATTCAGTAAACGGCATTTCCTTATGGAAGTTCCTGAATGATCATATCAAATTTATTGTCCATGAGTACTTCATATAAAACCTATCAGCATTTAGGCCATTTTCAATTTTATAATTGGAACTATCATCCATAATGGGTTGTTTGTGGATGAAAGGTGAGGATGGAGACCAGCCCAGAGGATGTTGGGGGCATGCATGCAGCTGCTGGCATCTTGACAGCTAGAGGTGGCATGACCTCCCATGCAGCTGTTGTAGCTCGTGGATGGGGAAAATGTTGTGTTTCAGGCTGCTCTGACATTCGTGTAAATGACAGTGAAAAGGTGAAATAAATGCTTCATTAATTGAAGAATTGATGTTTAAGATATAAAAGAATTCACTATTTATACTTGGGTTATATTACTTAACAAAGCAGGTTGTTATAGTTGGAGGCAAAATTATTAAAGAAGGGGAATGGTTGTCACTTAATGGATCTACAGGAGAAGTGATATTGGGGAAGCAGCCACTCTCTCCTGCTGCCATGAGTGGTGGCTTACAGACTTTCATGTCTTGGGCCGATGAAATACGCCATCTCAAGGTAATGTTTCGATACCAATTCACTAATACATGGATTAACATGCCTAAAGATAGATATTCTCAAACTTAAGTTTGAAAGAAGGGTCTAAAATTTACTTGTACATAGATGATGATGTTATGTGGTTGAGAATTCCAGCTAATGTATGAGGACTATGCTGCTTGATAGGTTATGGCAAATGCAGACACACCTGAGGATGCACAAACAGCAAGAAATAATGGTGCAGAAGGAATCGGGCTTTGTAGAACGGAACACATGGTATATGCTGAACTTTCACCTTTTATTGTTTTATAATTTCTAAATTTTGTGACATCATTCTTCTCATATTTACAAAAGTTGAGCTGGTATCCATCTTGTCTCCTTTAGTGAGAGAACTAAAAATTGAAACCCTTCCTAGTAGAGTGCCTGCCAACTCCTTCCATGCATCCCCTCCCCCTCCAAAAAGTAAAATAAAGAAAAAGATGAAAAGAAGATAATTTATCTATTGTTTTGGTTCCTTTGGTTTTTAAAATATTATGAGAACATTACTTTTGCTGCTTTTTGGAAGGAAAAATTGGCAAGAAAGTTTCTTAAGGGTGGGTTTTGTGTACTTTGTAAGAGCAATCATACTTTTTGTTCCTTATAAGAAGGTTAGTAGGATAAGAACTGTACGTTCATGAGCTTGAGCAGAATTTAAGCCTCCAATAAATAAGTTCCATAGCTCCATCATGAATGGTTGCATGTTATTTGATACATTTGATTAGCTGTTGATTTGGTGTTTGGTATCCTAGTTCTTTGCATCAGATGAGAGGATAAAGACTGTGAGACAGATGATTATGGCAGCAACACCTGAACAGAGGAAGAAAGCACTAGACTTGCTATTGCCTTATCAACGATCTGACTTTGAAGGCATTTTTCGTGCAATGGACGGTACTTTTATCTTCCTTCTCTAAAATTATGTTGTTGATAGAAAATGTAAGATCTCTTCCTTGTTTTAAATGAGGCGTTTATCAACTGGATTTAATAAGTTCTGAAAAACACTTGTGATTTTATTTCAAAGTTTTGAAAGAATCGGTGAACTATCTAAAAATTATTCAGCAAAATGAATAATGTGAATAATTCAGTTGGTACATTCGGGTTCACTTATATATAACATATGAGAAGGCCAAATCATTCCAGATTTTAACTAATAGTATTACACATGAAAAATGTTTTTGATTATTTATGTATTGAGTTCTTTGACCAAATTTTGGATTGAACCTTTATTCTTGAAAACGATCTAAACATGAACTTTTCCCATACGAGCTTTTGCTCTATGCTGAACCGCTACAGTTTAAATGTCTTGTGCTGTATCTGCAGATGTGCTTTATTCTAGGTATAAAACTAATTCTCTATGCACTAACCAGAAAGAAAACATAATGCTACATTTGTAGTTGTAGTCTTCTTCTTGAGATTAGACTGTGGGATGTTTCTTGAGATTAGACTTGCATCACCCCATCTACAGTGACAAGCTTCTTAGGATTCCTTGAGCATTTTATTTCTTTGCAATTTTTTATTTTGCAATTCTAGTTGATATAACAGGAGATATTGGCATTCCAGGTCTTCCTGTGACAATCCGACTCTTAGATCCTCCACTCCATGAATTTTTGCCAGAAGGTGACATAGAACATATTGTTGGTGAACTAACTTCTGACACTGGAGTGACTGAAGATGAGGTTTTTGCAAGGGTTGAGAAACTATCAGAAGTAAATCCCATGCTTGGTTTCCGTGGCTGCAGGTTTGGTTTCTTAGTATCCAATCTTCTTCATTATTATTTTTAACAGTGTTTTCAAGTATTATAGTTCCTCATGCATGTAAGGTTCATATGCTCTATCAAATTGTAAGTACTTCAGCCATTTCTCACTGCTTCTAAAACCTTCAACCTTCACAGAGTCACTCATTCTTAATTGCAATCATTGCCACATTGGTTTCTATACACATGGCTAAACCATCTCAATCATCTTTCCCTCATTTTGTCACAAATTGCAGCTACTTCGAAGTTAGAATGAATGTAGTCATTTTTATCTCTCTAGCATTACTTCTTATTCATCTAGATATTTTCATTTATGTGTGTATTGTTTCTTGATTGCCCAACATTATGTTCCCTGCAACATTTCTGGTCATACAGCCAACTTATAAAGGCTATGTTTTTGTTCTGATTGATCTATACTGATCAGACAGAACTCCAGACACACCTCCATTTCACTCACCCCACCCTAATCCTATGGAAAAAATAATTACTTTGGGGTATCTCTTGATCATCAATTTTAGATGCACGCTGACTTCGTACTCGGTTTTACTATAACTGTGTAATTTTTATATTTCATCTTAGTTTGATTTATATTAAAACCTTTTGATTTGGATTACCTATCCATGGTTTTAGTATTGAATTTATCCTGCTACCTTGTCTCCATCCTCATCGATCAAAATTATGTCACCAACAACTCTTAGTTTATATCTTGCCTAGCTCAAGTATACTAGTTTTGCCAGGTTGTGATCAGCATTAAAACTTTATACCAACCCATGTGTACATGAATCCTGAATGTCAAGAGATGAAAAGGCTTATCCCTGTCCATATCTATATTTGCACATTTGGCCTATTGATCACATGATCTATATTGATTCACAAGCTAACATTGCTGCAGATAAGTATGGCCTATAGAGACAAGGAATAATGACCTACTAAGTGTAAGGCAAGTAGTTTAATTACATAGGGAGATACATATAAGACCTGGGGGACAAATGTAAATTTGCTAAATGACAAGGCTATAGGTGCAAATGTCCTACTTATTGTGGGTAAATTTGGCTTGTGGTGGAAAATGTCAACTAATCAATCTAAATCATCAAGTGAAGTGATTAAACAGTATGTAGTTTTCTGAAGGTGAATATACACCAGTTCAATTCATGTAATTTGTCCAAGATGCATGCCCCCATGTGTTCAAATTGGTAGAAATGTAATTAATTACGAATCTGTTTAGTTGAAGTTTGGAAGCACTTAAGAGGATCTCAAAAGTATTATGTTATGAACTTTTTTCTTGATTATGTGTAACAGGCTTGGGATCTCCTACCCAGAACTAACTGAAATGCAGGCATGTGCTATCTTTCAAGCTGCCATTTCCATGAGCAAGCAGGGTGTTGATGTTTACCCTGAAATAATGGTTCCCCTTATCGGAACACCTCAGGTATGAATTTCATCTCTCTCACGTAACTCTGTTTTTGTGATTTTTCTTTCATCTTTTAACAGTAAATAAAAAATGTGAAACAAATGTTATTATCTATGTCCTATTTCAACAAATTTAATGTATTGACCCTGATTCCCAAAGCAGTCTTAAATTTTGGAAGACACGACACAGCGTTTTACTTTTTAGGGTCTGTTTTTGAATACTCAAGCTTTGACTGGCAGGAACTGGAGCACCAAGTCAGTTTAATACGTGGTGTTGCAGAGAAGGTGTTCTCTGAGATGGGGACAACCATTAGCTATAAGGTTGGAACCATGATTGAGGTCCCTAGGGCTGCTCTACTTGCAGATGAGGTAAAGGAACATAGGCCCTCTTGTTTTCATAAACATATCCAGTTGCATTTTTCAGTAACTTCACCTTGAAAATGTATATGGGAAAGTAACGAGGACTCCAACTATCTATTTATTTATTTGTCGGGTAGGTTAGCATTTCAGAACCTTGACCCAACAATGGAGCATGGTGGCCTTCATTTATTGCACTTTTTCTGAAGAAATTTTCAGTTTATTCATTTACTTTTCTACTTACATGGTAGATTGCAAAGGAAGCAGAGTTCTTCTCATTTGGGACCAATGACCTCACACAGATGACATTTGGTTACAGTAGAGATGATGTTGGCAAATTTCTACCCGTATACCTAGCAAAGGGCATTCTGAAGTGTGATCCATTTGAGGTAGAGTATATGAATGTTGTAAAATTTGAGTTAATCTGTGTAAAGATCCTCAAGTTTAGTTGAACCCACCATACCAAAGCAATTGGATCAAACTATTCATGTTTTCCAGCTGGACTTGCAAGAGACACTTCTGGGGATCATAGAATGTGGATACTGTGATTGAATGAAGCTTGTATGTGCTTCATACAAGTTGCAACTCAAGATGACTTGCAGGTTGCAGGATCAAGCCTCGAGATAATTAAAGTTCAACCTCGAACCTTCTTCGTATTCTTGTGGGTTGAACAAAAGCATTACATCAAACTTGGACATGTAGGAAAATTCAACCTATTTGGAAGTTGTGGGGAAACATTAGAGCTGATTATTGCATTATTTTCCTTTCAGACTCTCCCATAAATATAAGAATGAACTGCAAAATATTAAATGATTAGTGACCTAAGAGGCTTAAGTTACAACTATAATTACTGATTATATGAGCCCATCTTTGGTATTTCAGGTGCTTGATCAGAAAGGTGTGGGCCAACTCATCAAGGTTGCCACAGAAAAAGGACGCATGGCTAGGCCTAACTTGAAGGTTGGTATTAAATCTTGAAGCTATAAAATATTTAACGAGATTGCTTCCTATCACCAAGTAGGTCTCATTTCATATGTTTATCATTAGCTAGCCTTTTCAAGTAATTCAGCATTCCCACCATGATGGTGTCTGGAATTCTGCAAATCTAGATGCATTATTTTCCATCAACTCAGCCCAAACACCATAGTTAAATGAACAATGCAACTCTGTATATTTGGTGGCCCTACTTGAACCTGACCTGGTGAAACTGTTGTAATCACCTTACAAGATCTTATCTGAGTAGGATGGATGCTGCCCTTTTGTTAGCATCATTTACATGCTTAAAGAAGAACTAAACCAATTCCTGCAACATTATGGAATGTTGCCTGCTTTTCCTTATATGTTCTTACTTGGATTTATTAACAATATTCATAAACAGATTGGAATATGTGGAGAACATGGTGGAGAACCTTCTTCTGTTGCATTTTTTGCTGAGGTTGGACTTGACTACGTCTCCTGTTCACCATTCAGGTGAGCAAAGAATGCTTGTGGGAATTGATCTAACCTTGTATTTGATTCTAGGATGGGTTTTGAAAGCAAATTTTGATTTCTATTGCCAGGGTTCCAATCGCAAGGCTAGCAGCAGCTCAAGTGGCTGTTTGAGAGAGGAGTCAATCAAGGAAAATAAAGCAAGGCAACCACCTGCTGTTTTAGATAACTTTGTGCGGGAATTATGTAAATAATTATGGGTTGTTCTTGTATGATGTAATAAGACGTGATTATAAAGTTGCTACTTGCTATGTATATCAGCCCTTTTTTTTGATGAATAGTATATCATCTCTTCAGTCTACCTTACTCATTAAGAAAAGGCCAAAGGAACTCTACCAGACCTTCCATGATCTGCGTTGACAATCATTTACAATGTGAAATGGGATGGGTGCAGATATCCTTTACCTTGTTTGGAACTTCAGAAATGACGACTTGGGCGGTGATGATATATAATTGATAAAGCCAACTGGAACTGATAATTTAATTGTTTCGCCCACCTTGTGATGGGAAATGGAGATTTCCCCATCTAATACTAAATCCAATGACCCTTCTTGTAATCAAGTGTGGGTGAGTATGGATTCATCCAGTTAGCCGTTTCGGTGAGATATCAGTTCCCTTGTTTATTCAACCCTAGGAGAATAAAACAAGTCCAAAAAGAGAAGCAGGGTAATATGGAACGGACGTGGCAGAGGAAACGAGAGAATGTAGATTTTTGTTCTCTCAGCCACAATGATCAAATCCTACAGGTAGGAGAATCCTCTGTTAGCCTACAACGAGCAGATGAGGCTACTTACAAGGCTGGTGGTTGAAGCTGGACTGATGGACTCACAGAGTTGCAGGTTGGTCAACTATTGTAGAGATACCCATTTCACTATTTCAGATTCCAACCATTCCAATTCCAGTTTCCAAGTACTCCCCTCCGGCATTCTCCAGAAGAAAATTTCTTTCAATTAGGTGGTTCGTTTATAAAGATCAAGAAACCAAGGTTTTCATCCATTGTCGATATGTCCGAGTGGTTAAGGAGACAGACTTGAAATCTGTTGGGCTCCGCCCGCGCAGGTTCGAACCCTGCTGTCGACGTTTTGATCAATGTTTTTGAGGAACCTGTTTTATTGATTTTGGTGGGTTCTGGGACCGAACCTGATTGCAGTTGAAAGCCCAAATCCTTCAACCAGCAACCCGATTTCCATCCATCAGGTTTCAGGTCAAGCTGTGACTGTGAGGAGGCATTTTGGCATGAGAAGACTTAATTGAATTGAATGCTTGGGAGAATTTCACTTTATTACCCTGAATTTTGGGGTAGTATCAAGTTAGTACCCAAAGTTTTAAAAGGTTTCAAATTAGTCTCCACTATTAACAGAATAATAGTCCGTCAATTATCTTATCAATTTAAAATTTTTCAAAATATCAAATTATCCTACAAAACACTATTCATTATCTTCTACCTTAAAACTGAACCATAATAACACTGAGCCACAATTGGATTGACTTGATGAGAAAACAGAGGACATAAATTGATGAATTCGACGCCAGTGCGCATACAGTCAGACCCATCAACACTTGACCCACGAACACGTCTTTATTGAAGCAAACCAGAGCAGCCATAAGGAGAGTATTGGAAACAAGGAATTGGTGACTTCAACAGTTGAAACCAGAGAGGGTATGGTGCTGATACACCGTTGGCGTCCCCTGTCAAATGAGGTCTTGAGTCTTGAAAGAGCTTTCACAACTAAACTATGTTTCTTAATGTTCCATCTATGGAAGGAAGCCATGTTCAACAGATTTGCAGTGGCGTTGGGGGGACTGCTAGCACCTTCACACACAGGACATGAAGCCTCTCCACCCATTCCCCTTTTGACCATAACCTACTTAACTGTTATACCATTAGGCAGCTTTTCCAAACAAAGTACTTTAACTTTGGTGGGATATTCAAATTCCAGGTAGTTTTCCACTGGGCTGAGGACAAAGGACTTTATCTAGAGGTTTGATGTGAGTAACTTAATAGCTTCTGAGCCATATGGTAAGCTGACTTTACTGAGAATTGAACCTTGGGATTGGGAGTCCAGACCATTCTATCTTCCCCTCTTTAGTCTTGGAAGCTATAAAGCACAATATGAGAGGCTATTTCTGAGTCAAACAGATTTGTAATCTTTTGGATACTCCACTTATTTGTTTGGGTGTCAATCAGATCACTGACCCATTTAGCTTGACTTGGGTTGAACTTCGGACCCATAGGTTTAAAAGAAGGCCAAGCTATAATCTAGGGGTCCTCCTAAAATGTCCAATCTCTCCCCTTTGCTTATGCTCCAGCAAAGACCCTCTTTCAAGACATCCCTACCCACCATCAAGCTTTTAAAACCCCAGGAACTATTCATACGGGTCTTGGCTGTCTAGAAATTTTGATTTTTCAAGTACCTACCTTTCATAACTTAGCCCCAAAATTAAAGGAATTAACTTTAAAATTCTAAACATAGCATACAATAAAATAAAAAACTTGAACACTCAACAATTCAAAGAGTAAATGATAAAGAGTAAAGGCTAAATAGTAAAAATTAAAAATGAAAGCTTCTAACAATACATAAATAGCTCTAATTAGACATGTCAATGGGTTTACTCATGACCAACCCAATTTTTTCAGGTTGGGTTGGGTTGGCTTCGTGGGTTGGATCAACTTTTTGCCAGGTCTATTCATCTCCATTTACTCTTTCGTTAATGCCATCTTACCAATTACTTGTGGTCTTGTGGTGATGAAGCATTTCTTCACCCATTTATGTGATTTAGGGCTTTTGGCTATATTTGAATGCAGTGTAAAAATACACTTGCATTGATAGAATTGTACACCAATTGGTTTAAAGTTACGGATCATTGTAAATAGACAGTGGGATTATAGATATAGAAATGTTTATATCATTTTTATCAAAGTTGTAGTTTACATGCATCAACTATAATGTAAATCTCGACGTGTGTGGAGTTTTACATCGATTTTCAATATTTAATTATACTCCACCCAAACGGCTACAAAATTGGACTGGAGTGTTTAATTACACCAGTCCAACATTTACACTACAAACAAGCACAACCTTCAGGGGGGAAATGGGACACTTGAACAAATTTGCCCAACATCTTGGGTACTCCTTTCTTCCTCTTGGAATTGAGTTTCCTCTTTGAAATTGATTAACATGATTTAGGGTCCATTTGGTTTCTCTGGAAGAGGTGTCTAGTTATAACTATTTATTTGGAGGGCGTTTGGCATCAATGCCATTGCTTCAGAAAACGGCTCCACGTAGACACCATATTATAGAAAGTGGTGCTTCAAACAATGCCTTGTTGTTTGGTACCGTTTTGCAGAAAAAATATTGCTCCAGACCATGCCTTAGAAATTGGGAAAGTATGGTATGGACCAACACCAAATTCAATGTTTTCTAAGAAAATGGTGCATTGGTGCCAGTAGTGCAATGATGTGGCATCATCTTGGACATTGGATAATATAGACTAATGTTGAAAATGTTGTTGCCAACATTGACACCAAACAAAACCAGTGCTGTTTTCTCAGAAAATGCCTATGTGGCAGCACCATTTCCAAACAAAAAATAAGAGCAAATGGTGCTTTTAACTCCACATACCCAGAACCGTTTTCTCAAACGGTGTAGTGTTCCCAGCACCGATGCCAACACACATACTTTGTTGACTCTAGTTTTTTAGTAATAAAGAGATATATATTAAAAAGAAGAAATCAAACAACAAGCCTTTCCAACAAGTCTTGGGAAGCAAGAGTTACAATCCATTAAGGGTAATTAAACACAAAGAAACCTGACTTACTCATACCTCTCTTAGCAAGATAATGGGCTAACTAACTCATCTCTCTTTTAACAAAATTAAAATGAACATTTAAACCTTAGGTTTCCTCTGAAATTTCCTTGAACAAGAAAAGGATGTTGGTTGGAACACTGCTACTCACCCCGGCAAAAAGGTTTAAGAGAGGGAGACAGTCCCCTTCCACACAAACGGATAAAAACCCACAACTTTTGATCAGATCAATACCTTTCAAAATAGCCCAAGCTTCAGCCATTAAGGGGGAAGTAGCTTTACAAGGACCAAAACATACTGCTAATGCTTGGCCTTCACTGTTACACACTACAACACCAAAACTAGCCCCTTTGGATGCACAAAAACCTCCATCAATGTTGACTTTAATTGCACTAGATTCTGGAGGAGACCAAAATAGATTATGATTATGTTGGGCAGACTCTTGTCATCCTAGTTGGAAAGTCTTCACCCTCACTTTCAACTGCCTATTAATGGACAAAATTAAAAGAACAAGATTGATATTAATATCTTCAAAAATTAAAGCATTACGAGCCTTCCAAACATTCCAAAGGATAAGAACAGAACAAAGTAGTAGTTCTTGTTTTCTTTCAGCCATAGAGGAACATAGATCAATCTAGGATGAAAACCACGCTCAAATGCTCAAAGGATGGGGGCTGAGGTATAGAATCCAGTCTAGTATTAAACAAACTTCCAAATCACATACAGCTTGTAGCTTGGCAGGAGCAGAGGGCGTGGAACATTATTTCAGACTCACTCCCACAGACAGGGCAGGTATTATAGCTTCCAATGCCTCTCTTGACCAAGGATGGTTTAATTGCATTGGCCTCCCAACAACATTTCCACACAAACACCTTAATCTTGGGGTCCATTGGAATAGCCCATAGGGGTGCAAGTCGGATGGGTTGGGCTGAGTTTATAGTCAACCCGAGCCCAGCCCTAAAATTTGTGGGCTTAAGGCCCAAGCCCGGACCAAGCTTGAGGTCAAATCCGATTTTCCCAACCCGAGCCCAGCCCGCACTATAATTTGATGAACTCGGGTTGGGCTTGAGCCCGGGCCAAGCTTGGGTTGGTCAATGAACCCACTCTAGAATTATACATATATATGTATTTATGCAAATATGTATACATATATTTATGTATAGATGTATGCAAAATATGTATGTAAATAGGTAAATATGTATACAAATGTACACAAACACCCCCCCCCACACACACACACAAATATGTATGTATATATTAGGGGTGCAAGTCGAGCGGGTTGGGCCAGGTTTATGATCAACCCAAGCCCGGACCTAAAATTTGGGCTTAAGGCTTGAGCCCGAGGTCAAGCCCAATTTTTCCAACCCGAGAAAAGCCCGCCCTATAATTTGATGCACTTGGGTTGGGCTCGAGCTTGGGTTGATCAATGAACCCACTCTAAAATTATACATATATAAGTGTATTTATGCAAATATATATATTTATGTATGTATGTATGTAAA